GAAAATTTAAAAAAAAGATACTCGTTGCATAATATTAAATTTCAAGGTGAACAGACTGCCTATAAGTTTAAGGCGGAATCGCCTGAAAATCTTGACGCTTATAAAGAAAGTATCACACTTGATATGTGTACAAATTTAGCAGAAAATCTCTTGATAAATCCAATGTTAACAAATCGTTCCTTAAGTACTAGAATAATGAAAAACAAAGGTAAGTCTCGATTACCTGTACTGTGTAATTCTAATAAAATTTCTCGTATGTCCAAAAATATTTTCAAGAAACGGTCATGTAATTATTTGAAAATGATCCAAAAAGGAAATGATAATTCACTTCTAGAAAAAGTAAATGTTACTTCTCGCGTAACTGGTAAAGGGTTTAAAAAAGAGAAAAACCGTGAAGATTTAGAAGAACTGTTTCGAGAAGAGATTTTAAATGAAAAGGAACTGATGGAATTGATTGACACATCTTCCAATATATTGGTAAACGAAAATATGGATAAAGAATCGGACGCAAATTTCGATTTAAGTGCTTTGAACAAGGGACTAGAATTGGGTGAACAATTAAAAACGTTCTTTATAGAAAATGATCTTTCAACTGTGCGAAGGGAAAAGTTTAGAAAAGAATTGGAAAAATGTTTAGCTCCTTATAGAGAGCTCTTGTTAAAATTACATAATAAAACTGTACCTAAGAATAAAAATGAAGATACGTAAAATGAAGGAAAAACATTAGGCTCGTTAAAAAATAATTAGTTAGGCCATTAATATTGAACAGTGATGACGGACATTGAGAGAGAGAATCTTTAATCTCAAACATAAATTCCTTGTTTTTTATTGGAAATAAACGTTTCCAAGTTTATATCTTTACGTTTTTATTTAATTTTCTTATATGAAAAATAATAAGATCAATAAAAATGATTTGAAATATGTCAACATATTTTTATTACCTATATTTAAAAAATTATATTATACAACCAATGTTTATTATCTAACGATAATTCAACATTTAAATTATGTATATAAAAGTCTTTTCATTTTATAAAACTGTAATTACTTTTGTACCAGCCTGATAGTACAAGTGCTAATAATATATATATTTCTTAAAAATATTAAAAATTAATTATTGTTGCGCCAACCCAATAACATGTGCACTAATAAATAACAAAAGAAACAAGTATTAAACGAATCTACAAAAATGAGTTCGAATTTAAAATGTTGAGGAAGCTAGACTTGAGTGCGCCATCAAAAATTAGACACTGAAACTATTTGACAGATACGAAACAATGAACATAGATGTCGACTCATGGTTGTTGAAGGAACATGAGCGGCCATTTGGAAAATGAAAGTTGTAACCACGAAGCCTATATACAAGGAGAACGAACGCGATACGCATTCTCGTCGAATTTGTGTCGTTGAAAATGAGTAAAGATTGGGTACGATAATTCTCCACGAGGGTGGTGGTGGTGGTGTTTGGGAGTTATCCATTAATTATAGTTAATTAATCGATTAATTTTCTTACAGCTCAACAGGTTATTTTATATTGTTGATTTTGTAGTTTACTGTCTAAGCTTAATGTAACTGTCAATTACATTTTACATCCAGTATTATTCATTTTTATACTGAATAATTGAGTTAAAGATCAATTGATTCCATTTCACAGTTTCTTTTTACAGATATATATAGGATAATTTATCGACATTTTTTTCATGCTATTGCTATTTTTTCTCTTGACTTTGTGATATCATAACTAATTGTTTCACTTTTTTTTAGTTTACAATTTTTTATTTACTTCCTTGATTTATTTATCTATTTTTTTCCTAAGTTAAAGGTACAACTATATATATTTGAAAAGTTTGACCCAACGAATCGACGCGCTCTCTAGTGACAATAAAAATCATCCTTTAATACTGCATATACGTAGACACATTTATAAAACTGCATTCGTTCTCCTTGTATATAGCTCCGTGGTTGTAACATCAATATGGAAGAGAGTGGTGTTTTGTCGGGCAACGAATTAACAATGAAACGTCGAATGATATTCGGATACTTGCTTCACTCCTGTGGAAAAAGTTTTCTTATTTACGTAGTGATAGCTCTTATTGCAACACTAAACTATACTCGTGAGTTTATTATCCGATCCGTAGATTATATATTTTTCTAGTGTCTCTGCTGCTTACTGGTGTTATTGCATGGATATAGAAAGAGAGGGGGAACAGAGAGAAACGCTATACTAATGATGGCCGCTTCTGTATAATTTTGGTGCCAAATTCAAATAGTACAAAAGACAAAAACTATCTTATTGAAGGGGATTATTTCTGATTAAAAAGTTAAATAATAATTCGATGCCCCCCCCACCCCTTAATTTTGGATTACAAGATGAAAAGGAATATAAAATAAAAGAAATAACAAAAAAGAAAAAAAAAAACAAAATAACATAATATTTGATTCGGTTTGATATGCACGTTTTAAATATAACCGCTTTTTATGCACATTTTATTATCATTTTTTAACGTCCCTGATTGAGATTATATACTAACGTATTTTTTTTTGTTTTTTTTTTTTTTCATGATTTCATGTGTTACGCGATTACATTTAGAAATAATAATATTTATTAATTTGCATTATTTTCTGACATCGATTGCTTTAAAGATTAATCGCACGCATTGCTTAACTTTAAACATTTTATCGAATAATTTTGTACAATCTTTTAAAATATTCCTTCTACAGATTATCTAGAAACAAATAAATGGCAGGCGATGTGGAATGGATTAGAATCATTCCTAGTTTCACAAAATAACATCTTAGAATCTAACAGTGACTATATAGCCTCGCAAAGTAATTTACTGAGAGCTATGGAAATGTATTTGAGACAAACAACGTACAATAACAAAAGTACGAATGCAACGAACGAAAAAACAAGGATATACGCAATAACGCCAACTTTTACCAGGCCCGTACAAAAGGCCGAATTGACCCGCCTATCCCAAACTTTTCAACTTGTGCCAAATTTCCATTGGATAATCGTCGAGGACTCGTCAGAGAGGACAAAACTTGTCTCGAGATTACTCAAGGAAAGTTCATTAATGACTTATACTCATTTAGCCACGGCTACTCCTCCTAATTATAAACTTGGTAAGGACGATCCTAATTGGAAAAAGCCGCGAGGTGTTGAGCAACGAAATGCAGCTTTACGTTGGCTAAGGAAAAATTGTGATTCAAGCGATAACGGTGTTGTATTTTTTGCCGATGACGATAATACTTATTCCGTCAAATTATTCCAAGAGGTAACGAAATAATCCAATAATATTATTTATAAAAATTACACTATTATTTTTCCATCAACTTAACATATATTCTTAAAAGATAAAATAACTATGTCGGGTAGTTATCAACCTTCTATTACTTTACTCAAACTAATTCAACTCAATTTCTTAATTTTATTAGAACAGAATTTCCTAAAACACCTGGGTCATTAAATAATAATTTAATTTCGCAAATGAATAACTCATGATGTTCAATAATCGATGTTATAGTTTCGTACATAATCTACAAGACAGTAAACTTAGCTGAATATTAATCCCTATCATCCCCCTTCTTGAAACCCTACAATTGCCCCCAAGGGAGAAATTCTCTCCCTGTTGAGAAAACTTGAGCCAAGCCAACTTGCTGCACATATTTCAGATGAGAAAGATTCAAAAGGTCGGCGTTTGGCCGGTGGGCCTCGTTGGTGGTCTAATGGTGGAGAAACCTATTTGTGATAATGTAACTAATAAAGTAGTCGGCTTTAATGCTGCTTGGAAGCCCAACAGACCGTTTCCTATAGATATGGCAGGTTTTGCTATCAACCTGAAACTCCTATTAGAGAATAAGGATGCATTATTTTCTTATGACGTTGAGAGTGGTTATCAAGAGAGCGAGATTCTTAGACATATTGTTACTAAGGATGAATTGGAACCTTTAGCTGATTCCTGTACAAAAGTGAGTAACATTTGGGATCTTTATTTCAGGTAGCAAGTATAGGTAAAAACTTAACACTAATCTTAGTAACATTTTGTATGTACTTAATATTTCTATCATAGCTAGTCAAATAATTTCTCTTTGACTAAAGTTATATTTATTACAACAGATAATAGTCTATTTACTGTTACGAAATTTCATGGTGTTTTTCTTTAATGTTTTTTCATCAAAAATTGCAGGTATACGTTTGGCATACGCGAACGGAACCACCACGATTGAGCGTTGAGCAATCATTAATAAAGAAAGGGATGCGTTCGGATTTTGGGATAGAAGTCTAAAATCATGACAATGTATCTTCCGTAAAAGATACACACGTCTTCGTTTGTTAACTACAGTTTCAGTTCATTCTATGAGATGAACACGACTTTTGTGATGGATTTGAATCTACAAACTGATAATGTGGGTTTTATGCAATCAACATAATAATTTTTCACTTCAACGTGATATAGATTAAATTTAATAAAAGAGAGATCTGTTGTTTTGTTGTAATGATTCTATTTGAAAATTGTTGTTTGATAAGGTAGGAATTTATTATATCGACGAACGAATATAGCGGCTGAAAAACCATCGGCCTAACGATTTTTTACTTTTTACTTTTCAATTAAATCTACTTTATATTGTTATTATTATTTACATTTAATTTAATCGATATCGGCTCTCGCAAATAATTTCATCTCAATCCAAAATAAACTGTAATGCGGGGGGATTTGATATTATTTATTTTTACAAATAGTAAAAGTGTATATACACGCACATTTACGAATATAGTTATCAAATTTTTTATTTCCAAGTGTTATAACATTCGTTCTAATATTTATAATAAATAAATACAGAATAAACGTGTGTGTTTAAAAGAAATTATTTTAACCCATTTTTAGGGAGTCAAATATCGTTGACACGAAGCTATGGTTCGGGTAATTAAAAATTCCAAGAAACCCCCTAACGCGAATATTTATCGAACATTTTTCCCCATAAACTGTCTAATAAATTATAAATTTTAATATTTCATAGGGTCTTTCAAGTTGAACGTTACCTTAAACTTAAAAAGAAAATGAGAAAGTGATTCCCTAATGTAAAAAAGGCTTAAAAAATTTGACCATTGCGAAAATTTCACGAGCCCTTTTCAATGTCGTTCTTTTTAATATCTTCTTTGAATTGTTTTTTTGAAAATGTCTTTTAATTCTTTATTCGGGTACGTTTTTCTCACGTACAGGAAAAAGCATACATAAAAAATATGCCTTACATTTATAAACTTTCCACAATAATAATAATATAATAATAATAATAATAATAATAATCATAATAAAAAATTAAAAAATAATAATATTCGCTAAATATTATTTTATTACAAATTGGAAGCTGCGTAGTAATACTTTTTTTTTCCTCTTTTGATTTTTTTTCACGGAAAGCTCTATATGCAAAAAAAGAAAACAAAAATGTGTGAGAGAGAGAGAGAGAAGAAAGTGTGAGAGAGAATGAGACAGAGCTACGCTCCAGGTTTTTATATTTGTTTTTTTTTTTTTTCCATTTGTTCCATAATTTTTTTTTTCTTTTTTTTTTATATAATTTTTTTTTTTTACGATCATTTTGGCGGCAGATACAAAATTGCTTGAACAAGTGTTAAAGAAGTTTAACGTTGAAGCCTCCTCCTATTTTCTCTCCAAATTTTTTGGAAACATCGTCTCGACGAGATAGAGAGAGAGAGAGAAAGAGAGAAAAAAGAAAAAGAAAAGAAAAACAATCTTTGCTTCGCAAATCGCAATCCACCGTTTTTTTTCTTTTCATTTCTTTTCTATTCTACTCTAGTCTATTCTATTCTATTCTATTCTATTCTATTCTTTTCTTTTTCTTTTTCTTCTCTCTTTGTCGTGTCTAGATCGATGCTTTTGTATTATTATATATATATACATATAATTATAATCATTAATTCTCACATGTCGTTTACGAGCTAATAATGACTTAATAGCTAATAAGTACTTATACATTTGGCAAAACTCTTTTTCTTCTCACGTTACGTAAAAAAGCTACTCGAACGTTGATAAATCATTTTCGCGAGATGGAAACAAACACACCGAATATAATAATGATGAACGAAAACCAACATTTCTTTTTTTTTTCTTTTCGAAATCCACTTATTGTTACTAAGGATACTTTCTCAATCTTCTTTTTTCTCTCTTGTTCTTGTTCTTCTTCTTCTTCTTTTATTTATTAATTTGTTCGATAAAGAGTTTCCTTCTCGCGAACACGATCTTCAACAACAACTCGCGTTACAATCATCATCATCATCATCATCATCCACATTATCATCATCATCATCATCATCTTCACCTAAATCTATCGAAAACTTTTTTTTTCCCTTAAATTTATCATTCTTAAATTTTACAAGGTGTTTTTTTTTCTTTTCTTTTCTTAGGGTTTAGAGAGGGGGTGGGGGGAGGGGCTTGGGACAAGGACGAGAAACGTTTACACAAGCATTTACAAAAACGTATCACATATTTTTTTTTTAAAACTGCGTTTTTGCAAAGAAGCCAACTCCTTATTACACAATATACTTGTAATTATTTTTTTTTTTTTTTACTTTTTATCTTTTTTTTTTTGTTTGTATATTCCTTAAGGGCAATTAAACAGTCCACAAGCGTATGTATTGTTCTTTCTTTTTTTTTTAAAAGTCGTTCACATTTTTACGATACAATATCATGAATATTTGAGTTTTGGAAAATTCCAAATCTTCTCTCTTTTCTTTTATTTTATTTTCTTTATTAATAAATTCGAAATAAATTCGGAACGAACAAAATTGTATCGTAAACGAATGTGACTTGGGGGGGGGGGGGTATTACAACTAACAACACGCATTGTAGACTCTTTTGTGGAAACAGGCAAGCTTATGTTCGCATTCCTATTTATTTATTTAATTAATTATTTAATTAATTATTTTTTTTTTTTTTCATCTTTGTCTTTTATCTTTATAATTACCTTCTTAAAAACTTACGAAAACGATCCCTCGAAATGCCATCGATTACGTTCACTCTATATACGTATGTATATGTAAGTATATTTAAAGAGAGAGAGTGAGAGAGAGATAGATAGATAGATAGATAGATAGATAGATAAATAGATAAAAGAGTGGAAAGTGAGTGAAAAAGAGAGAGACGATTTTCCCGTTTATAATAAATGCCAGTAAAAAATAATATAAAATAACAATTAATAATACTAAAAAGAGATAGATAGATAGATAGAAAGTATTATATTGGCCAATATAAGCTTTAGCTGTTATTTTGTTTAAATAAAAAAAAAAAAAATACCGCATGAGCTTATTATTGGTCAATTTAATAATAGAAGTGTTTCGTCTAGGTTTTGTCAAGGTTGTTCACAAAGGTTCGTAGTACGATTTTGTAATGTCGAGTATTAACCCATTGCATAAAATCAAGAACACATAAATCTTCAAACATTTTCGACAAAGTTTAAAAAAACACGAAGGAATATATATGAATGGTAGTATGATTGCAAATAATACAACTAATGTTAAAATTAGAATAAAATAGAATTTCGATGAAATGATCAAATTAAATCGAATCATAATTAATTATTTAATTCGTGATAATTATACATGACTTTCGGGTTGCGTCTCCACCGGTATGTTTAAAAAAACAAAAAAAAAACAAAAAATGATAGATAGATAGATAGATAGAGAGTCAGTCAGTCTTTAAAAGAAGAATGTAAGATATGTGAAATAAAAAAAAAGAAAAATAAAAATTTAAAGATAATCACGAATATATATATATTCGTATATAGCGAGTTAATATAATATATATATATATATATATATTCGTATATAGCGAGTTAATATAAAAAATTATTACTCAAAATAATTCTATATTATTTATCGGTTGTATCAAAAAAATTCATCTTTACCATAGAAATGATTTGAAATATATTTCAAGAGTATTATTTTTCTCTCATTGGATGAATATAATATGTTTCTTGATATCCTAATTCTTTTTCTTTTTTTTTAATATTCAAATAAATATGTTTTCTCGGTTCTCAAAAAGTCGAATTAATAAATCGATAATTAATTATCTATAACATATGACACGAACTTGATGTAAATAAAACAAAACAACAAAATCTAATTATATTCATCCAATTGTATTATAGCAAAATGTTAATTATAATTGATTATTATATTATTTTTTTCGATACAGCCGAGACCCATTATAAAAATAATAATTTTTATTAACTAAACCCCCACAGTATATATATATATATAAATGAAACTAATAAAGTAATGTCGTCAGTTCTATGAGTTTCCTAAATCAAAAATGAATATTATTATATCGAGTGGATCTGGGAGGTAGATAAGTAGTGTTACAAGGTGAGTTACGAGAGAAGAGAGAGAGAGAGAGAGAGGGGGGGGGGTTTGGAGGCGAGGAGAGGAAAGAATAATCTTGAAAATATATATATACACGTTATATAGAATAATGAAAAAACTCTGCCGACCTTCTTCCGAGGACCTCTCCATTGCTCTCGTTAATTATTATTATTATTATTATTATTATTCTTCTTTTTTTTCTCTTCTTCACCGTGTTTTATTTTTTTATATTTTAACTTTATTGTTTCATCATTTCATTCGTGCAATCTATTTAATCGTTTTTTTTTTTCATCCCCCATTTTGAAAAGATCATCGAAAGAAGGTTAAAAAAGAAAATTATGCAACAGAGTGCGATTAGAAAATTTTGTTTTTTTTTTTTTTCTTCTCTTTCCTTCTTCGTGGCAGATGTATCGTGCGTGAAAAAAAAAAGAAAAGTATGAGAAAAAAAATGTACGATCATCTGCACGAACGAATGAAAGGGGGGTTGGGGAAGGGGATGGGAAGGGAGTTGGGTGCGGGCACCCAACGTTTCGTGCACTTATAAACTAATCCAGCGTACTAGACTGTGTTGTGTGGGTGTTTGATTATTCTCTAATTTTTTTTTTCCTTCTTCTTCTTCTTCTTTTTTTTTTCATTTGTTTAAATTATGTGCCTCGAAGCGCAGTAGCATCGACCAAAAAAACTAACTATAACGATATACAACATTATCTTCCATTCCTGGGTTCTACCAATGTCGGTGGATGAAATTTTGTACACTCTGTATATTTTTTCTCGTCAATTCTTTTCTTTTTTCTTTTTCTTTTTCTTCTTCTTCTTCTTCTATTCCTCCTCCTTTTCAATTTTGATATTTTCTTTCACATTCTCTTCTTCTTCTTCTTCTTCTTTCATCTTTCCTCTTATATTTATATATATATATATATGTGCGTGTTGGTGCACGTGTAATGTGTACGTGTGTGTTAAATTTATTGAAATATTTGTATAAGCGATCTCTATCAAACTTTAATTATAATTATTCATTCTCGTTATTATTTCCTTTTCCTTTTTGTGTTTAATTTTTTGATATATATATTATATATATATATATATATATATATTATCTACGTAATACGTTAGAAATACATTGAGAATACGTTTTTGTTTGTTTGTTTGTTTGTTGTTTATCTTTTCCCTATCTAAAACGACGAACTATAATATCTGATTGAAAATTTTCTAACGTACTACCCTACTTCACTAACACACACTTTTTTCGTTTAAATTTGATTGCCCCAGCTATTTTTGTGTTTCTTTTTTTCCTATTTTTTCTTTTTCGATCTTTTTCTCCACAAAAATAAAGATAGATAAAAAGATCGTTTTAAAGAGAACGAGATGAGGAAGAAAGAGAAAGAGAGAGAGAGAGAGATAGAGAGAGACACACACGAAGAGTTAGAGAAAAAATTTGTAATTAGTTCTATGACTTTCTTCTTTAACGATTTTTTTTAAAGAACAGTTATATGAATTACTATTACGCACACTTACGTATTCGCGTATACATACACTCGTACAGATAGACACACAAAGATAAGAGTACGTACAAATTGATAACTCGTACGATCTTCCTCCCTTTACTCTGATTCGAAATTGATTGAAATCAAATGGTTATGGGAAATACGATGATCTAACATACGAATTTTTATTTGAAAACATTATCCTCGCGGTAGAAAAAAGAAATGATTTCTTTTGTCCTAGTAGAGTCGTTTGCATTTGTCAAAAATCGATCCTAATTCCTAAATCCTAAAGATCGAATTATCTACATTTTCGCGGTCAAATAAATTGTTATACAAATTTGGTACCTTTTTAAATGTTAGTAAATTAAGTTAATTTTTTGTTTGCGTGAAATAATAATAATAAAATAAATCAGTAAAGTTTCCCCTAATGTGTATGATAAAATTTTACCAAATTAAATAATTAATAATCAAAAAAGTGGAATTACTCTTATCCTTTTAACAAATTTGTTTGATATAAAAATAAAAAAAAGAAAAAAAAAATTAAAAAATAGTGAAGAGTTATAATAAACCATTTGACAAATGCGTACACTCGACTCGTAAACGTACGAATATATACACGGTGTTTATTATTACGTCATGTGTTTGACGTTACGTGTATGTATGCACGCGTGAATTCGTAAATGTATATTCGTAATCAATATCCACGTTTTATATCAATATTAATAATTTTCGTTGATAATTGTCGAGAACACGTTTCTTTTCTTTCTTTTTCTTTTCTTTTTTTTTGATATTCTTGTCGAACGATGCCTGCGAGAAAATAAAGGCATTATATTATTATAATTATTATTATAATAATAATAATAATACCGTAAGAAAAAAAGGAAATAATAATAAGTATTTAAATAATTTAAACAGATAGTGAGAAAGGATGATGAATCTTTTACAATCTAGTACGCCGGAAGAATATCTAAACGGCCGAATCTTTTCCAACGAAACCGGTCTTCGAAACGGATCGTTTGCCATCAAAGGTTACCGACGTTTCCCTACGTAATCCAGAATCGATGATCGGTGTTATTTTCTTCTCCTCCTTCAACGGTTCTTTCTCGTCTCTGAAAACAAATTCACAATTTATTCTATTATTATATTATAGTTTTCTATTATAAAAAATATATATATATGTTCAGACCAAATTTCAACGTGTTTTTTATTTTCTTTCGTCATCGAACACACCACACACACCACACACACATATGGAAAGATAAAGAAAGAGAGAGAGAGAGAGAGAGAGAGAGAGAGAGAGAGAGAAAAAGAGATCGTATGTGTGTGTGTGTATATATAATATTTAATATTTAATATCTATGTATTATATATTATTGTAGTTATATATTTTATATATACAAGTAACCAAAGTATAATATCAATGTATATGCGAATTTTTAAATAATAATATGTGAGAAATAAGAAGTAATTAGTATTAAGAAACA